AGAGGAGCTTGAGATGGAATGGCATTAGAAGAGGCTGGTGGCCTTATCAGGACGAGGCTGGGGGATCAGGGGTCCCCGGGCACCAGCCACCACCACACGTCCTGGGGAGCAGGGCTGGGGAGGGGACTCCACCCTCCTCAAGGAGAGTTTGGGAGTCCATTTCTGCTCTCAAAGCAGGAGAGTGGCCTGGAAGGCTGGGAACCCTGGGCGGGGGGCGGGGGGGGTGTGGGGGCGGGGGGCGGGGGGGCTGCCTGGGCTTGACCTTTGTCCCCAGGAACAAGCTGAGGGCCAAGAACCAGGCCCAAAGCGACTCACCAGGGCATTTGAAGAGGGGCCTGGGATCTGGGGCAAGGTGCCTTGGCGATTCCCAGGTGGCAAAGGCCAAGCCAGAGCCTGACCCCAGATACTTGGCAGGGCCTTCACCCTGCCCTCCCTCGTGCACTCAGCCCCTCTGGCCTCCCTCACGCCCAGCACAGGGGACAGATGGTGGGAGGGAGGTGGGGGCGGGGAGCGCTGAGGCCTCCATTCAGCTTCCGGCAACCCTCACTCTGCCACCCGGCTTCTCCACTCTCCCTTCAGACACGTCCCCTCAGCAAACCAGCACATCCCTGGTCCTTCTCGATCCAGCCCCACACCTGTCGCCCCGGGCCCCCTGTGAGGCTCCCCCTAAACCCATCTAGCCCCCAACACCCCCCAGCCTGAAGAACCCCTTCCTCAAGGCCAACATCCACACTGACCAGGGAGGGGCCTCAGGCTCATCGGCCTCCTCTCTCTGGGGAGGTGGGGGTGACTGGCTTGAGCACCCCATGTTCTCACCCCCACTCTCTGAGGAGGATGGTAAGGCCACAGAGGAAAGACAGGAAGGGAGGGGCCCCCAGCCCTGCTCAGCCAGGTCCAGCCCCAGCACAAGGAGGAAAACCCCAAAACCAGACCCCACATCCGAGATCATCCCACAGAAAACAGGCAGCAGTGAAGTGTAGGTGAGCCTGGTGAGGCGGCTCAGGGGGCCGTCCCTGCACCCCTGAGGTGCTGTTCCTGCCCCCACCCTGCAGGCACAGACGCAGGCCCCTCCCGGAGCCCAGCCTACCAGCGTCTGGGGGGCAGCTGGGCACCGAGTCCAACAGAAGCATGGCTGGCCTAGAACTCAGTCTGCACCCCTGCATTGCCCTCCGTGGTGTGCGTGGGTAGGCCGCTGCCCGGGTCAGACACCTGCTCCCCCGTCTCCTGGTCGCTGGGCTTGGGGGGCTCAAGGTCCGCAGCCTTGCCGGGTGGGAGATGCCGCAGCGGCGAGGCAGGCGGCGAGGAGGCCTCAGGGGCTGCCCCGGGCTGAGGGCTCCCCTGGGCAGGGGCCCCGTTGAGCAGGGAGCCGGTCAGTGGGGGGCTCTCAGCCTGCAGATCCCGGGCCAGCAGGCCGCGGAGCTCAGTGACACTGTCTGGGGACACAGGTGATGATGGTTCCGGGCCAGCCTCAAAGGGTAGCTCCGCCTCCTCGTCCTGGATCAAGGACACCACCTGCTTGGCGCGCCGTCGCTTTTCCGAGAGGGTGGCTGCCTCTGGGGTGCCGGGGCTGGGACTGCTGTCGCCGTACTCCTCACCCCAGTCGATGGGCGCGCCCTCGGCCAGCAGGTGCAGGTTGGGGTCGCTGTTGTGCATGACCATGCTGTCCCGGTAGAGGTTGTGCTTCCGCTGCACCGCCGCCTCCTTCACGGCTGGGGCCACATGGACAGCAGGGGTCAGCACCTCGGCGCCCAAATGGGGCACGCTCTGTCCCCAGGGTGTCTAGGCCTCACTTCTGGGAGCAGCTGAGAGGTGACCCCAGCTCAGAACCCGGGCTGGTCACTGCCTTGCCACCCAGCCACTGGCTGACCCTCAAGATGGAGCGCACAGAGACACGCCGCTCTCCCGGCCACCCGCCCTCGGGCAGTGCCGGCAGCTCACCCTGCAGGATGTCCTTCATGACGGTCTGCAGCACCACCTCCTCGTACGTGTTCTCCACCAGGATGAACCTGGCGAAGTCCTCGAAGATCAGCTCCTGGAAGCGGGGCAGCTCCTGCATGGGCAGGACAGGTAGAGACGGAGGTCAGGGCCCACGGACGAGGCTCCAGCCCACCCAGGCAGTGGGGAGCAGGCGTGGGGGCTGCCGCTCACCGACTTGCAGGTGGGGGCCAGCTTCTTGCGCAGGGGTGGGATGGTGATATGGCGC